TTTTTTTTTAGCAGTCATATATCCCTTATTCTTTTTAAATAAATCAACTGAACTGGATCAACATAATTTTTGACGTTCTAGCCAATTCATTGCAATATCTAATGAATTGCGTGCAGTTCCGATTTTCATTCAAAATTTCAGCCACAATTTCATCATTTTCAGCCGAAAGATCTACTGGTTCAGAAACTTCAGTTTCGTTTGTTTTTCTGTTAAGAATTTTATTCCAAGATTTAAGATTCCAAGCACTGTAAACACTAATAATTAACCATGAGTGACAACTACCCATTCCCCAATTATAGAACTTCAGCACTTATCTGTTCATAAACTCCTTCTGCATTCCTACCATTGTAGACTATCAAAATGAAGCTCGCATTCTTGGAAGATAATTTTCAGTTGTAAAGGGTTATGTAGGTTTAACTGTATCACAATACATGTATGTACGGCTACTACAAGAAAACTGCTAAAAAGGTTGTAAATTAAATATAGTCTTCAGATGTAGGGGATATTACTTATTCTTCTTAATTTAGAAAAATTGTCGATAGGTTAAAAAGTATTCTAAACTTTAAAAAAAATAAAATGAATTCAGACATAGTTCGGATAAGGGTTCGGATAATCGGCGCTCTACTGTATATAATATAGGTAACAATGACAATTTATGCAATGATTCTTAATTTTTTCATTATTTTTGAAATTATGAGTTCAAAATATATAATAAAAGCATTTCATATTAAAGTCCATCATAAATAGTAAATATTGCAAAATATGGGCTAATTATTACTGCATTACAGTTTTGCATTTTATTGACTATAAAAATTCCGGTGTCTAAAATATATTTTACATAACCTGTAGTAGTTAGTATGGTAATTATATTGAAATATCTATTATGATTTCATGCAGTGTTTTTACTTTTTTAAACTTTTTGAAGTAATTATCTTTTTGAAATTTATCTGAATTGATTTAAGTTTTGAAACTTGTTTTGATGTTTAGGCATTCAAGAAAGTTGATACAGATAAGAAACAAGAGGAAATAGACAAAGTAAAAAAGAAATATGGAGTTACTACTGATGATTAATGAAACACAAAACAAAGTGGTGAAAAAATATACACTTGTACATATTTGAGTTTTTATTTCCTTTTTTTATAATATAGTAAAGGGAAGCATAATCTTTAATTTGTATTTGATCAAAATAAAGTATGTTTGCCAAAAATCTTATCTTTGTTCATTTAAAAGTTCAGTTAGTTGTATCAAATAGTTTCATTTGTACATTTTGTTTACATTAGTTTCTCAAAATTAAAATTTTGTATCATTTGGGAAAACAAAATCATTCGATGTAAATTTTAATTAAAGAATTAGTTATAAAGATGCAGTACAAATAATGTTATCTTTTTTTTTAGTAATTGGTTTTGCAAATTTGTAATCAATAATATTATATTAGGTGAAATTATTCTATCCATAATTACATAATAGTAATTTATTAAATTGACCCTGGATTTGAAATACTTCTGCATTATTTTTACGTAAGAAACAATGTTTTGTGCTCAAATAAATATTATCACTTTTCGATATTTAAAACATTTAAATATAATATAAAATTTAATATTTACTAGCCTAATTCTTAGTTTGTCTGAATCTTCCAACATGTCTCTAAAAAATTTCGTTTGATATCTGAAAATGTTTTTAATGGGAAATGTTTCTTTTCAAAGTCAGCTTTGTAGAATATGAACTGATTCTGAATTGAATTAGATTTTTTAAAAGTGAAAACCTTTCTTTTTTATCTTTATTTCAAAAAATTATTAGATCTTAAAAAAAGATGTATAGTTGGTTTATTTTTAATCAAAACCAACTTAGTGCAAAAAGATTTTTTAATTTTATTAAAAGACTAAAATGTTTTTGATAGTGAATACTTAACAATGATTAAGTTTTTCTTTTGAAAAAAGATGGATAATACATAAAGCCAGGTACACAATTGTTTTGGAGTTGTCAAACCAACTAGACTTGGAATTGTTAAAAACAAGTACAAAAATTGCTTTTTAACTTATATAAAAATGTTTTTATATTAAGAACTTTCTTATATCAGGTGTTTTTAAGCAAGTTTGTTATAAAAATTTAATATGCTTTAAGAACTATTCTGTAATCTAAAAATTGTGTATGTAGATTTTGCAAAAATAACTGAAAATTGAACTTTTTTTTTTAAGTTTAAATGTTTTTCATTTATAGTTCACTTCACTTATTCACTTTTTGTTTTAGTTTATGTTATTCACTTTGATCACATTTTTTCTTAACATAACTTTCCGCCAACAATTTCTCATGTTACCAAATATTTAAGAGCATCTTTAATTTAAATTAGTTATTTTAATAATTTTTACAATTTTCTATTAAAATGAATAATTAAGTTATTGATTACTTTTAGATTTTTATAATGTATTAAAATATAAAGTATTAGCTAGTTATACATATATAATACTTTATCTTTGACTCCATCAATAATAAAATGAAAACATAATGTGAACATAAATAATGACACTAATTTCACAAAAAATTAATTTATTTTACAATATACAAATTACATCTTAATTGCAAACAATTAACATGATTAGTGATTCTTTTCCAGTGCTAAATGATTATTTACAACTAATTAAATTAATACTTTAAACAGTTCTTACAAAAAAAAAATCAGTCAACTTCTTCAATTGTTGGACCATTACTAGCTGAATTACCTGATTGTTGACCAGGATTGAAAGCGTTTCCACCTTGATGCAATTTGGTCATCAACGGGGACAGGTCAGATTGAATTTCTTTCAATTTGTGCTCTATCTCATCTTTTTCAGCTAATGTGTTACAATCCAACCACTGAATAACAGAGTCACATTTTTCTTTAATTTTTGCTTTGTCAGCAGGTGACAACTTGTCATCAGATACAGATTCTGATGCTTGCTTGACAGAATAAACATAACTCTCCAAGGCATTTCTGGAAGCCACTTTCTCTCGTTGTTCTGCATCTTCTTTCTCATATTGCTTGGCTTCATTCAACATCCTTTCGATTTCTTCCTTTGATAGCCTTCCTTTATCATTAGTGATTCGGATGCTTTGCGATTTCCCGGTACTTTTGTCCTGTGCTGATACATTTAGGATTCCGTTAGCATCCATGTCAAATGTTACTTCTATCTGTGGTACTCCTCTTGGTGCTGGTGGAATTCCAGATAGTTGAAATCGTCCAAGAAGGTGATTGTCTTTGGTCATGGCTCTTTCACCTTCGTACACTTGAATATCAACACCAGGCTGGTTATCGGAATAGGTCGTAAACACTTGTGAAGTCTTGCAAGGAATGCGAGAGTTTCTCTCAATTATTTTTGTCATGACTCCACCGGCTGTTTCAATTCCCAGAGACAATGGTGCAACATCGACTAAGAGAACATCTTTGATCTTGTCGTCCGTATTACCAGTGAGTACCGCAGCTTGAACAGCTGCTCCGTAGGCTACAGCTTCATCAGGATTAATTGACAAGCACAGTTCTTTACCATTAAAGAAATCTTTCAGTAACTTCTGAATCTTTGGAATGCGAGTTGATCCACCGACTAGCACAACATCATGAATGCTGCTTTTGTCTAATTTGGCATCTTTCAGGGCTCGTTCTACAGGCTCCATTGTAGATCTGAACAAATCCATGCACAATTCTTCAAACCTCGCTCTAGATATCTTTGAATAGAAATCTACTCCCTCAAACAGAGCATCGATTTCAATACTTGCCTCAGAACTGCTTGATAAAGTTCTTTTTGCTCGCTCACAAGCTGTTCTAAGTCGTCTTAAAGCTCTAGGACTGGATCTGAGGTCTTTATGGTGTTTACGTTTAAATTCTTCAACAAAGTGAGCGACCATTCTGTTGTCAAAATCTTCTCCACCAAGATGTGTGTCTCCGGCTGTTGATCGTACTTCAAACAAAGATCCTTCATCTATAGTCAAAATAGATACATCAAAGGTTCCTCCTCCCAAATCAAAGATAAGTACATTTTTCTCACCTCGAAGGTTTTTATCCAGACCGTATGCTAAGGCAGCAGCAGTTGGCTCATTAATTATTCGCAACACATTCAATCCAGCAATTTTTCCCGCATCTTTTGTAGCTTGTCTCTGGGAATCATTAAAATAAGCAGGAACTGTAACTACAGCATCAGTTACTTTTTGGCCTAGATACATCTCTGCAGTTTCTTTCATCTTAGTCAATACCATAGCACTGATTTCTTCAGGATTAAATAGTTTTCTTTCACCTTTTACTTCAGCACAAATCTTTGGCTTACCATGTTCATTCACAACTTTGAAAGGCCAATGTTTCAAATCTTGTTGTATTTTAGGATCATCATATTTTCTTCCAATAAGTCTCTTAGCATCAAAGATTGTATTTTCTGGATTCAGGGCTACTTGGGACTTAGCTGCATCTCCAATCAGTCTCTCTGTGTCAGTAAAAGCTACATAACTAGGCGTAGTTCGATTTCCTTGATCGTTGGCGATTATTTCGACATGTCCATGTTGAAATACTCCTACACAGGAGTACGTGGTACCCAAATCGATACCAATGGCTGGAGCACTAACACCAGGCATTTTTACAGTCCAAAATTCTCAAAACAGTTCTTCTGTCCAATAATTAAAAATGCAATAGCAAAAATTCTCAGATCCAAACAATCACTTTCCCAATGAAACCGTAAGTTTTACAGTTCAGTCACTAGAAAATAAGCAGTGCAATAAATTCGCAATCAATTCTTCAACACGAAATTCAGTATTATAAGTAGCGAGGGAAAATAACTTTCAGATAAAGAGAATCGCTTTCCGATCGCAATATTAAACGATTTCAAGTATAGCTATCTCAAAGATCATGAAGCAGAACAGTTCTGGTTTCGTATTTATAGAGAAGACGAAATTTCCCGAAAACTCGAGATGAGAATCGGTGTATTTTCGATGGTGCTGCCATCTGTAATGGAGCATAGAAGACTGTCAGAAATTTCGAGAATTTTCTGAAAGTTTCAATGAGTGATGCTGCCATCTGTAATAGAACATAGGAGACTATTTGAGAATTATCCAGACCTATCTTTCAAATTCTAGAATATTTAGCTGTCTGCTGCGGTTTTTTGTTTTGTAGTTTTAATATTTTGGCTTTCTAACATATTTTTGAGATGGATGTGAAATGAAGAAAGAAATTATTTTGAACCGTGAACAGAAAATATCGAAAATAAATTAACATTTCATAGTACAAGATGTTCAAGTAATTTCGAAAATTTAATGTTTAAATTATTAATGCTAATCGGTAGAAAATGTTTAATGAAAACAAGTATTTGAATTCCTATTTATGAAGGAAAAAAACTAGAATAATAATTAAAAAAAGTTTATAAGTGTTTTATTTTTATGTTTAAATTTTGAAAATGGAGCAAAAAAAAATACAAAATAAAGTTATTAATTCTCATCGTTTATTAAAATGAGATTGGTTTAAAATTTAAATCTGATTAAGCATACTGCTTTAGAGTTGTAAATAACTAATTTGCATGCTTGGAGTTTCTTTAAAAATTATCAAATCTCTAATTGAGATAAAATTGGAAATGATAACTGAAATGGAGTACAAGTACTATTACGTTTAAGAATTATGCTAATTAATAATCATATGAATGATTATATTGTTTGACCAACCCAAAGTTCGCAAACCATTTATGATATTTTTTACAATTCGAGAGAGTAGTGAAGGAGAGCTATGCATTTGAGCAGAGTTAAGCGATCGCTGGTCTATCCCAAAAGCAGGGACAAGGCTGAAGTAGATCCGTAACTTTACTGGTCAAGTTCAGCCTTGGCAGGGGTAAGAATTTTCTGTTTAAAAAAAAATCTTTTTTTCTTGTGTATGAACAAGAAATTATTTTTTATAAATAATCCATTCTGATACCATTTCTATTCAAAAGATCAAAGGCATACTTTTATTAAAGAATCATGATCCCATCGTCTTATCTCTTCCCTTAATGCAGAAGTTTAAGAACCTTGAAAAAAACATCGCCCGTGAATATTTAAGCATTGGCGAAGCAAAAAAAAAAAAGCTTTTAAGATCTAACGAATCACTTTGGAGGAAAGTGGATTGAAAAGCATTAAAATTGTTTGATTGACTGGTGAAAATTAGGGATATTTCTAAAAATTGCTTACCAACTTTTCTCTGTTTAATCTGGTTATTTAATATATTCGAATAAATTATGAGTTTGGATTCAAATAAAAATAGCGTTAAATAACACCATCAATATTCATGATGCAGAGCTGTTAATTCTTCTAATATTTACGCAAAAATTTATTTTTATATTTAAAGTGTAAAAAATCACAAGGTGAAAAAAAAGGGCGGTCAAATAAATTTAAAGCTTTTTCTGCTTTATTTCTGGATTTAAAATTTTTATTGACAATAATGTCGACTCCCACAACATAAAAGTAAATTGAGTATCCAAATTTTTGCATGATAATCACATGAAGGTATGTTTACTCTCTGTTAAAGTATAAAATTATTTCCGTCTACAAATGTAATTCCATAACTAATGTAATTTCATAACTACTTAGGAGCCAAAATATAAAAATATTTCTGTCTCCAAATTTAATTTCATTCTCATCATTTCATTACTATTTGGGAAATACTATGCGTGAAAAAATTTTTTTTGAAATTTACAACGAAGTAGTCCCATGAGATTATTTAATTTTTTTTTTTTAAATACACATATATTTACAGCATTTTAATAGCTACTTAATTTACTTATTTTCTCACTTTTTCCTTCTAATAACACCGAAATTAAGTAAACTAGCTTATAAATAGTAAAAGTTATTGACGTTGAAAGCCTCTTGTTACGTTATTTTATTAAATTAAATCAAATTTGAAAGTGTTCCTAATTTTATTTTTGGCTTTAAAAATTTTACTTGAGTATTTTTTTATTTTTTTCGTCGCAAACTTTTCCACACAAATAATTAATAACAAAGTATGACATAACTGCAAAAAGTTTTATTTATTTTTTTATTTTATTATTATTTTGATCCACTTTATATGAGCCATAAATTTTGCTTCGCTTTTTGTGAGACAGCTATGGCAAGCTTGTTAAGTACCAACTGATATGTGAATTTTATATACATATTTGCTTTTTTATCTGAATGCACTTTTTTGAATAACATATAGGTTCATATATATACATGTACACTTGTCTGATTCTTTTAAAATAACATTTTTGACGAATCCTGGTTAGGAATATGCATTATTAAATTACGTAAAAACTGGAGCTTTTCGAGAAATCAGGTTTCTTTGAAAATAGCAATTAGGGAAAAATTTCATATCCGTTCCAAAATCTCATGCAACCTAGAAAAAAAAAATGTTTCCTAGTGCAATTATCATTTATTGGTGAACAAGAAAAGTGTCATGAAAGTATGTTGTTTCAGTTTAATCAAAATTACTTTCTAATTGTTTCTGTCATAAAAACTTGAAAAACTTTATTTCCTTGCAAAAACTTTGCTTTTGTGCCCCCCGATGATAACGAAATGATGAAATTTGCTTTGTGTCTTCAAGGAAATAAAAAAACAACACTTTTCATATCCATAATATACATTTCAACTAAATTTCTATTAGATAGGGGGGAAAATCTCAGAATGGGTAGTTCTAAAGTTGAAAGGAGGGCTTTATTAGTGCATCAGTTTTATATAGTAGACAGTAATTTATAACATTGTACGCTTTAAAAAAATAAGTTCAAAAAGTTCTTTTTTAAAACAAATGTGGTAGCAGTAGAACAAAAAATACGTCAAAGTGAATAAATATATATTTATTGCGAAAGGAAAAGAAGGAATTTTTCTACTCAATTAAAACAGATCTTTTATTGAAAATTTCTAACTTAGTGTGCAACAAGCCTCTTTGTTAGAGATTCACAACATGCTAATTTTTAATTATCCACCACTTAAAATATACATTGCATAGATATAGTAAATCTATACGCATCGTTAAATAATTAATATTTAGCTGGGGTTTTTTTACCCCTTCGCAACAAATATGTATTATTAAAGATTGTTAATATGTTGTTTAGGGGAACTAACTATAAAAATCCAACAAAAAGAGATAGAAAAAAGGTTTGTTTTTGGTTACCATTTTAATTCAAAAAATAATTACGCATTTTTTGCATTACGCGATTGTTTTTCTGTCTCTCCATTAAAAAAAAAAGCGGGAGAAATTTTTCTCGAATTTTATTTAAAGGGGGTTCAATTCAAAATTGGGAAATTATCATTTGTAAAGTTCGGACTCACTATAATCTTTGCTTTTATTGCATGTGCTTTTTTCACCTGACAGAAATTATCAAAATTTGATTGTGCTGCCATCTATCCATTATTATATAAGAGAACTTTTTTAAAAAACTTTTACGAAAATAGTGCTGCTAATCTTTATTATATTATCATTTAATTAAGTTTGTTTTATTGATATTATTTATTAAATAGTTAATCAATTCGACAAATTTAATCTGTTAAGAAAAGTCTCAAATATCTTACTTTTTAATGTAGTTCTTTATTTGCTTAATAACTCTTTGTATAAAATAGAGACAAGTTGAAGATATATAATCGTACAAAATATTTCAATTGGTTAAAAAGAATTAAAATTTAAATGCATGTATCGAGTTGTTGATTTCAATAAAAATTTTGCTTTTCGTCTGATTAAAGTGTCCGTCTATAATATAATAATCAGACTTGAAAAGAGACACGTGATATAAATCATAATGAAAACATATATAAAATTCTTAAAATAAAAAGAATATTTAAAGGAGGGGTAAATTAAATATAGTTCTCTTTCTTCTTCTTTTTTTTTCTTTTTTTTTTACATATGTAGTTTACAAGGTTGACAATAAAGGTATATGAGTTTACTCAAATATTACAGGGGTCAAAATTTAAAAGTAAAAGGAGGAAGCCAAGTTTTAATGAAGATCGTCATATTTGAAATTTTTGCACACTATAAATAATGTTATTACTAAATGAATAACTTCTGAATAATTTTTTTTCTCCAAAAACGGAGTGAAAACGAAATAACACTATTGAACGTTGGTATTACTTAAATATTTCTACAATCACAAAAACAAGTATTTCTGCGAAGTGAGTTTATATTTCCATGGAAAATTCCAGATGATCAATAAAAAGATTACCATTACATTATAAATTCCAGATTACCATTACATGTTAACATGTTATGAATGAAATTAATACCAAACTAGAAAGTTTCTTATATAAAGAAATAGTTTATCCTCATTTTTATTTTAAAAGTAAAAAAAACATTGAAATAAATAACTAGCTATATTATCAATAAAGTTAATAATGAAAAAGATTAAGTAAAAATTGTATTCGTGAATACGTGTTCATTTATGCAATAAAGTAAAAGAGTCCGAGGGGGCACCCGGGTTTGAACCGGGGACCTCTCGATCTGCAGTCGAATGCTCTACCNTTTTTTTTTTTTACATATGTAGTTTACAAGGTTGACAATAAAGGTATATGAGTTTACTCAAATATTACCGGGGTCAAAATTAAAAAGTAAAAAAAGGAAACCAAGTTTTAATGAATGTTATATTTGAAATTTTTGCACACTATAATGTTATTACTAAATGAATAACTTCTGAATAATTTTTTTTCTCCAAAAACGGAGTGAAAACGAAATAACACTATTGAACGTTGGTATCACTTAAATATTTCTACAATCACAAAAACAAGTATTTCTGCAAAGTGAGTTTATATTTCCATGGAAAATTCCAGATGATCAATAAAAAGATTCCCATTACATTATAAATTCGAGATTATCATTACATGTTAACATGTTCGTTTAAATGAATGAAATTAATACCAAACTAGAAAGTTTCTTACATAAAGAAATAGTTTATCCTCATTTTTATTTTAAAAGTAAAAAAAACATTGAAATAAATAACTAGCTATATTATCAATAAAGTTAACAATGAAAA